CTGATATTATGCTAACATTATCCACTTCATTAAGTAGATAAGGAAGGTATTGGGAGCAGTTATTCTAAGAATGCACTGTTCTTTAACCAGGCACAAATTAATCAGGCATTACTAATGAACGTGTTTAATACTATATTCTATAGATAGAATGATGTCAGGATTTAAATGTCCGTTTGTTTTTCCTAAGCTAGGTATCTAGGCTTTTTTTTTTTTCCCCCAACACTGAACACTAATAACTAATAAAAGATCAAAATTAATATTTTATTTTTTCTTCATTGGAATTACTTGAAATACTCTGTTTATTGTTTTTCGTTCATTTGTGCCTCCACCTGACTTTGGGAAAGCCCCTGCACCTGGCCTTGTGCTAGGTCCCAAGGTCGTGGAGATGCGGATATAGGGATAGACAAGCAGTATAGACAGCAGTGGTACCCAGCAGCCGATGAGCCCGGTGGGGAGAGTCATGGCGGAGACCCTGGGCTGATGCCGGGCCAGGGGGCGAAGCACTGTGCAGGGCTGGTCAGAGACCTCAGGATGTGAATGTGACAATCAGTGCAGACTGACCATGGGCCCTAGTTTTCTTTAAGATCTTTGGTGGAAACTTCCGTCAGAGCTGCTTCACTTTTACATTAAGCCTCTGCCTAGACATCTTTCAAAGAAGATTTCATGATTAAAAAAAAAAAAGTTAAAAAGCTTACAAAATGATCATACGTTGAGAGGTAAGCGAGAGAAGCAAGAGTCGGACGTTTATGGGCCTTTGGTTCTTGTCGAAGTGCCTGGATGTTCCCTAAAAGAGAGAGGACAATGGGATGGGCATGGCGAGTACCTGAGTGGAAGCCTGAGAGGGAGCCTGTTGTGGATATCTACACAAGAGACGCATGGCTGAGGGAAAAATAAATTAGATTTGGTGTGGGGGTCAAAAGAGTCTGTTTAGAAGAATGCCACGGTTTCCTTCTTTTGGAGGATGCTCCAGGGGAAATATCATGAATCCAACTTGTAGCACGCTGAGTGCCAGGTGCTCTGTGGGGCATCCGAGTACAAATGACCCATAGCTAACTGATATGTGGACATACAGTTGAGATCTGATTTTAATAGCGGGGAGTGGAGTGGTGGGTGAAGTCATGGGTGTATTGGGGTCTGTGAGGCAGTGTCGATAGAGTGAGAAGTAGCTGAAAACAGTCCTAAGGACCAATATCATTTAAGGGACAGGTGATGGGCAATCGTTCTAAGAAGATGCCCAGAAAAGTTTGATAAGGTGATAGGCACCAAGGAAGGAGAAATGTCAAAAGGACATTAGACAGCGGCGGCAAGTGCCACAGAGGGGTCAAGGTCAGAAAAGAATGGCTATCTGGCAAAAAGGTTTACTTAAAAAGAGATGTTTCTTTGAAGTGGAGGCAAAGTTCTATAATTTTTCAAAAGCAACAAAACATGGTGTTTTAAAAGCAACCGTTTCATGACTGCAGTTCTGGAACTCGTTACTGCAAAGCACGAGAAAAGAGTAAGATTAAACCAAAGACATGGTGATTTTCATGTCTCAGTTTTGGTCTAAAAAATGTTTTTTCTCTCTTTTTCTAAATATGCCAAAATAAGCCATCGTTCTATGACTAACTTATTAACGGTTCAATGTTAGATATTGGACTTGTATCGGACATATTTAAAAAATGTGAAAGTCATTAAAAGATTATAACAAAAATGAAATCTAACCGCAATATGAGAACTCCGGTTGCTAGAATGTGTAAGCAAATCTGTGGACACGATCATCTATCTGCTGTGCCGCTGGTTTCCTCTTACGTGAAACACGGGGTGACATGACTTTGCACCCTGCCAGCTTTGTTATCACAAGCAAATCACCACACCACTGATGCTCAGTGTTTCTCTCTCTCAAATCAAAAGTAGATGTCCTCTAGAGCTCCGCTTTTTAAACCGTAGATTGTGACACTTTAGTGGGCTATGAAATGGAAAATATCAGAGTATACCCCCCATGATAAAACTCTTTTGCCAAAATTACATTATTTCAGCTGTGTGTGTGTATGTGTGTATGTATGGGGGGAGTGAGGGCGGGTAGATTGGCAGGTAGGTGTATTACTAGATCATGGTGCACAATGTATTTTTTTTAAGGTTTATTTTTTTTTTATGGTGACATTAACGAAATCCAGTAAATTTCAGGTATACGCAAAATGTATTTTTCACTGTGGTTGTGGTTAAGAAAAAGTTTGAGAAACACTGCTTTCTCAGCTAGAGCCCCATCGTATTCTAAAATTCTCTCATTTCAGTTAACTCTTAGACTGCTCTTTTAGTGTCGTAAATGTTTCATGACAATACTGCAGAGTGGCAGGTATAAAAACTGTTAAGGCATGAAAGCTAATAACAAAAGAGAAGAACATTAAAAGGTAAATAAGGCCAACATCTGTGTTGTATTTGACCGCAAGACTGAACAAGCCTTTAAAATTTATTAGTATTCCGACTAGCAAGCCATTACACTAATTTATGAAGAAAAGTTAAAGTATGCTATATATTAACAAACAATGGAGTAATTCTTTTGATGGTGGCATAAATAAGCAACCATATCAAGGAGAAAGAATACTTTTTCAAAAGTAACAATTCCACGGTACATAAATTCCAGGATTGGCAGTTAAATAAATGTGATGAGTCTCTTCTGCCTTGCCACATGAAAAGATTCATTGACCTGGTTATGAGACAAGTCGGTGTATTTTTATGGGCCTGAACTAGAGGGAGTAAACACCTTAGTCAGGTGTTTTGTCTTAGAAACAGCTGTTTGAACTCACCGCACTGGTTCATTCTGCTCTAGCGTGTATTTGAGCATTTGCTTTTCCCAGCACCCTTGCTGATGTTTAGAATCCAAGTGAGTGAGCAATTTCCTATAAAAACAAGATTCAATGAGTTTTTCTTTACTTATCTGTAAACTGTTTTTAATTCTTCTCACCCTGTGAGGTTCCACAGAGTTTAGATGGCATTAGACAGGGACAGTTTGACAAAGCCAAGGAACATGAATCATCGCGCGCGAAAGTTGAGGGAAGTGTTTTCATCCATCCGTCCCGCGCGGCTCTTGCGCGCTCGTTCGGCCTCTGCGTCTTTCTTTCCTCTCTGCCGTCTTCTAAACCTTGGGGTGTTTGCTAAACCTGTTGCCAACCTACCCCTCCCCGCCCCCAACCCCCGACTTTCGGCAAGGCCGTGTTCTCTGCCTCCTTTCCACTGTCAGTCCGCTGGCAAAGAAGGTCTAAGCGGGAGAGGACTTAAGACCAGCGATGCCATCCTGCCATGTTTTCTCAAACCCTCTTCTGTGCCTCGTCTGGCATCTTTGAAAGGTAGACCCTGGCCGATGCTGGCAGGGCGTCCGTGGGGTAGCGGTGCGGGCGGGGCTGGCGGGGCTGACGCCACCTCTCTGGCCACAGCTGACTGGCCCGTGGCAGGCACACTGAGTCTCCCTTCCCATCGCTGCATCCCAGGCCGCTGTTCCCTGAGGTGTACAAAGACGCGTCCTTGTGCCGAATTAAGGCATAAAAGTACTCCTAAAAGAATTTTAAAATTCCGTTCATTCTATGAAAACAACATGTTTGCCCTCGAGCCATCTGGTTTATTAGATGAGCCGAGCGAGGCTCAGGGAGGGAGGACACCGAAGTGAGAGAGCAAGTGGGGGAACCTGGGCTTCCGCCATGGGCTCGGCTCGCACGACTTCCGAGCCCGTGGAGGTGGCGCTTGAGGTCAATACTGAAGGGCGTGATAGGCTGTGGATCCATGGAGAGTAGAGAGTGAGACACAGGCAAGTCTTGAGCTTCGGAATGAAAACAATAGAGAGGTTTATGTCAGCCAGTATTTGATAGCAAGAATCGTGTTTTCTCTGGGTTTTATGTTCTTGCCTATATAACTCAAAGCGGGTAATACGCAGAGTACACCCCAGCCAGATGGGGGGGCCTATGTGAAGGCATAATTCCTCTAGTTACTATTTTCCTAATTAAATGATGATACCACTAGATTCTGTACTTCTTCCAGAAGTTTGCTGTGATAATAAAATAGTGTATCAGAAAGTACTGTTCTTTGGGAAATTTTAAATGCCATACCCGTGTAAGTTTGTGGTGTTACTAGAATGCCAACTTTCAAGAACTCGCATTACATCCTGGAATACTTTCTCTACAGAAATGTTTTCCTTCTTCACTAATTATGCAGAATATCCACCACGAATCATGTTGTTTCCTTGGTTTGCTACATTACGAATACAGTAACACCATAAAACCCTGCAAATATATTCATATTCTCCACATTCATCTCAGTGCCAGTAACTGTCATCAGGATGTGGGTTGTGCGAAGTGTTGAGTAGAAGTCACTGGACACCTCAGAATGCTGGTTCTCCCCTCTGTGTACAGTACTGGCTGTTCGATGACTGGATAGTGTCACATGAATGTCAAGATCAGCTCCCTCAGCTGGGCATGGTGCCAGGTGGTCAGAATGGCCATCACTTCCTACTTTGAGTATTCTAAAAATTGGCAGGCAGTCTGAATAAATAAAAAATAAGGATAGTTATCATCTGCAATAAAATTAGTACTTACTGCCCTTCTGAAATCAATCCATATGTATCTAGTTTCTGATATTCGCGATGATGGTTTTAGACACTCTTAATGGATCGTGGTATAAAATAAACAATGTCGTCTTGATTCACTAAATTTTTGCTCCTGAAACAGACATGTGAAACTGAATTTCCTCAATTTTACATATCTAAATAACTCTAGATTTTATATTTCTGTAATACTTTAAGAAGCAAGTTACTTCTTATGCAAAGTACCAACAACATTTGGGGCACTTTTTAAATAAAATTAGTCACTGAAGTTTGCTGCAGAATAAATCATGCACACCAAAAGCATCTGGAGCCCAAGCTGCCCAGTGGGTCACTTTGGGCCTTTCCTGACACGGACTCCCTCTTAATGTGACACTATATTTTATGTAACCCAAGGTATATATGTTCTTGACCTGTAAAATTCTTATTTTAGGATCCACCTACTTCAGTTTCCCTTGGACTGCGCATGGAAGAAATGATTTTCAACTTGGCAGACACACATCTATTTTTCAATGACTTAGAAGTAAGTTCAGTTATTTTATACACACTTCATGTTGCGTGTCTGAGAATAGGTGATTGGTCTCATAATAATGAGATGTGATTTTCAATACGTAATTGGAACAATGAGATAAAGTAATTGTCGATTGTGTGGTGGTGAATTTTGCCTTCATGGTGTTTGCTTTGCTTGACTTGGGCTGTCGTATTTCAAAGTTAGATTCCACATGATTAAAATTTGATGTCAAGAATCGCAAATATTCAGCTGTGTTGATGAGCAGAAGCTACGGATTTCTCAGATACATAATCACCGTTGAGATAGATTGCCTTTAGAATCCAACGGAATTTGTGAGACTCGCATATGCTGTCCGCGTCAGACTGTCACTGTATTGGGTTGGTTGCTTTCCTTTCCGGCCGGCCCAGTTTTTGGATGACAATTTAGTCAGGCCTCTCCTTGGGTACCAGGATTTCTCATGTCAAACTGCTGATGATTTTATTATCATTTGGGCAGGGGGTGGGAGGGGGAACTTGTGTAAGATGACTAGTTAGATGTGTTATGCAGACATGATCTCGGTGAGCAGAAGTTTAAGAATAAAGAATATTGTTTTTTGTCTCTCCAGTCTGAGAAAACACGACTATAACTACATTTCGTTCCCTTCTTAATAGAGACAGTTGTTTATTTAAATCCTGCTGTTAAGCAAGGTTGTGGTAGGGCTGCTAACAGGCATTAGTCATCAAGTTGTTGTTTTGCTAGATTTTATAAATGTATGTTATTTCAGACAGGAGAAGAATCTGAAAGATTCAAACAGAACTTTTACTGATCAAAGTTAATTGGCAGCAATTGGCCTTTAAATATTTCCTGATGTTTCCCTTTAAAAATCAAGCAAAATGCACCTTATTTAATAGATGAGCCAAAATCATTTGAAAAATGCCAGTATGTGACAGAACTTAAATGTGGTTTGTTCAACATCTGTCCTGTGTTTTGATTTCTTTTCATCTGCAATGAAACTACTCACAGACGAATTGGCGACTTACAGTGCAATGGAATTATTTAAATGTGCTTTATATATTTTTTTTCCATTCCTTACTGAAATATTTATTTTTACACTTAGGGTAAAATATAATTTTTTTTTTTTTTTTTTTTGCATTTAAAGTGTTTGCTTTTCTTAAGGAAATTACATGTAAGGCATTAGTACTTTTTAAGGTAGAAATATTCCGAGTGACAAGTTCAGAATTGCCTTTAGAAAAGCTTAATAATCATACTTATTTTTAAAAGCTGTTTCTGATTTATGGTTGTGACTCACTTTATAAGAGAAAGCACAAAAAAATTCATATTTTCCTAGTAAGTTCAAATCCCTCCCAACGTTTGCATTTGTTTCTAATGATACAGGCGAGGCTGATATTTTGTCTCGAGTACAACCTTGTTCCTCTTATTGATGTTAATAGGTGTTAATAGCACCCATCAAGAAGAAATTAGCAGTAATTTGCTATTGTTTATAAACTCTGCCTTTTAAAAAATGCCATAGCTTGTCTATAGAGTGCCAAATCTGTGACGAAAAGTGAGAAGTTAGACAAAGTAATATAAGCTGAAAAACTCAGTTTTGATAATATGACCAGATCTTTATTTGTTTACTGACATTATTCATGCTAAACTGTATATAGAGAATGTCTAAAATAAAAGTATGTATTAAAAGTTCTGGTTTAGGGATGGAGGGGATATTGTTTTTCTCTAAGCCCAAATTAAAAAAAAAACAAAACAAAACTAGAGGTCGACACAGTTGTTGAAATATCAGATTCTGTTCTTGGCATGCGGACTATTATGAGAAGTAAAGGAAAAAGAATGAAGGTGTAATTCAACAAATATAAAAACACATTTAGTGAAAAAATTATTTAAGCTTATAACCTTACAAAAGTTGATTTTTAAGTCATTTTAGTTTAGAATAATATGAAGGTACCAGCAAAAGTATAAAGGAAAGATTCATTTAGCCTCTGTTCTTGGAAATTATTTACTTGCTTGAAATTTGCATATTTTAAAAATGAATTGGTTTTTATACTTATTTTAGTCTTTCATTTTATACTTTTGTAATTCGGCAAACCTGGACTGGTCATCGCAAATATTAGTTTCTTTCAAAATAAAAAGTAAAATTATTTCCTGACAAAAATAAATGTGTTGGCATAATACTCCTAGAAAACCAAAATTATCTCATCAGGCTGAAACGATGTGGTAATGCCTGATTTCACACTCCAGTTAGCAGTGCACTGTGGTAGGGAACACGAATATTTAAATTACATGTTTTCAGCTTTTTAAGACCTCTGGTACAAGTAACTTCAAGGAGATTAACAGCCTATTAGTTAGCTTCAAGTGTGATTTCTGAACTGTTCGTGTTGACATTTGGCCTCATTTTCTTTTAAAATCTTAACTTCTTTGCCAGCTGCCCCTCTGCGTAATTTGGTATTTCACAGCTTTGGCTTATGAGAGATGCTAAACAAAGAAATACGCACTATGTGAGGGGCTGCCAGGACCGGTTCTCGTGTTATCAAAGTATGTGCTTGAAACGGTTATCAGGATAATCTTTAGGAAATCGAGGATATGATCTTAATTTTAAAATATCTTAATTAAACTTTAATAAATAAAAAAATAACTTTTTAGCTTTAAAAATCTTGTTTGTCATCTCCCTTAGTGACAACTTTTAATAAAAGCAATCACAATTTAAATTAATTTTGTTAACACTGCAGAAAAAAAAATAAAAGGGAGAAACTTGGGGTTTTTTGAACCAATAATAATGTTTGAAATGCTGAGGAACATGAGTGACAGAGACATACTTTTCAAAGGGAATAATATTTTATCCCAGTAGAGAGAAAGGCTTGGGCTTTAGTTCCATAGTCTACTTCTGACTTTTCTCTTTCTAGGCCTAACGCCCTGCCTATCATTTTCCCAAAAGGTCTCTGTGTGCAATGCGATGATGCTTATGTGGAAATCATTTTTCGTAAATGACAGTATGGAACTGGAGTTTTTTTCAGCTTCTTTAGTAAAGTATGACTCTTTCTGACCGAATGGAGAAAGTTCTTGCTGTTGGATTTTTATTGAAAGGCAGTCTGCAAACAGTGAGGAAAGGCCTTCAGGATACGATAAATGTTTCGATTTAACTTGCCGTTGGCCAGTTCTCCTGCTAGATTTTTCCACAGTTAAAGGAAAATATTTCATCGAGGTGGATATTAAGTCCAAATAAAAATAAACTGTAAACTGATGTTGAATTTTCTCTTTCCGTCTGGTGTGAATGCCATTTTACTGGCGTTGTGATTGCCATCTTTACCAGTATGATTGACATGGTGGCCCTCGGGAGTCTGCTCTCAGGCCACACTCCTTCCTGCAGGGATCAGGGCCGTGAAGGAGCAGGAACACCCCTCTGGTCCTCTGTGAGACGTAGGCACACGAAGGTGCCGTGTGCACCGCATTCACCCAGCCCGCTGTGAAGCTGCGTCGGAACCCTCTCCCTCACTCTGCCAGCGTGTTGTGCATCGCACGCTGGTTGGTTGGGACAGACCAGAGGATTCTTTGGCGTCAGGATTTACAGCGTGAGGACTCCGCCCTTTCTTAGGTAGACTCCTGTCCCAGGTCTGCTTTTTAAGCACCTGCTCTTATAGCTCCTTGTTTTCATCGTTTCTATTAAGAAAAGGCCTGAGACAGAAGGTACTGGCCTCAGGAGAGCCTGAGTTTGAAAAGTCAAAGGCCAAAGAAAGGAGGACAGTCTCTAAGGCCATAACGTAGAGGAAGTAAGCCGGAATGCTTTTCTTCTAAAGCAAAGACATTCGTTTGCCCCTCGGTTTAATTCAGTCTTTAAACTTGTGATAATATTGTCTTACTCTAAAACTTAGGTTACCATCTGTTCATTATTTCAATATATCTTGTTTATAAATTTATTTTTAGCCAGGAAAAAAAAAAAAATCTCTCTTTAAAATATCAGTCACACCACCGCTAAGTAGCGTCCGTTCCCAGTGACGTGTTCCATGCTGACCTAACGCTGACGCGTTCCAGAGTGTGAACGTTTTAAACTGCTTCAGAAGTTGGTGTTTTTGAGTTGAGAAATGTAATTTGCCTAGAAAATGCTTTAGTCTCTATAAATAAACATGAAAGAACTCTGATGCCCAGGGTCCAGCTGCTGGAAGGGTCTTCTTGAGGAAGGGTCTCGTGGATGCTGGCAGAGAAGACCCTTCAAGAAGAGCTTGCGCTGCTTTCTGCTTTCAGTCCCCGCCATCAGCCAAGACTGGCCACGTGAGGCGGGGAAGCCACATCCATAATGACATTCCAGACATAAATGCACCCATAGATGCACACACATATAAGCCGCTTGTCATTTTCAGCTCTGTCCACAGGCTCTTGTTAACTTATTTTCTCTTGATAAATTTAGCAAATATAAAAGATCACATTTTTTGAAATCCCAGTAGCATCCTCTGTAACACCCAGAGTATTGCCTGACACATGTTGACCATTAAACGAGTATTCGTTAGGTTGAATTTTGATCTGTTAGAATAGCGATTTCTGTTTCCTGTCCCCATGAAGGCAAAAACCGACTTTGTCACCTTATGTTTTAAGGTGGTTTCCGGGCCTTGTCCATTTCCTTAGTTAACAAAAATATCAAAACCCTCAGTTTAGGTCACAAAATAAATTTTTCAAGGAACAGATGATGATTAGACATAATAAATGTGTATTCAATTTAAATATATTATAACTCATGGCCAATAAGGATCAATGCTCATATTTTATCCTTTATTATTACTAATAATTTTAAGTGTTCTTATTTCTTCATTTCGTATGATTCTGTTATTTTTATTTTATCTAAAGTAAAATATAGAAATATAAAAATATATTCAAAGACTTCCTTAACTCTCATGTTCATCAGAAAATTGAGTCAGATAGCTGTTTAATATAAAAGGTATTTACCTAATACAACAGCCACCATTGTTCTTAACAATAAAATAATAGAGGCAAATTGTCACTCGAATGGAAACAAAGTAAGACTGCCCTGT